CCTTTTATTAGGTGATACTGGAGATTGAACCCAGGGCTTTTGCACTGAGCTACATCTCTAGCCTTCTGAGACAGGGTCTTGCTAAGTCACTAAACTGTCCAGACTGGGCTCAACTTGCAATCCTCCTGCCTCAGCCTCCCACCGTGCTGAGATTACAGACATGTACTACCATGCCCAGTTCCCTCTCTTTATTTTTTAGTACAATCAGAGACCCTAGCCACCTGTAATGTCCCTTCTTCTAAAAGCCAATCTTGCTTCTGAGTTTAAATATAACTCAAAATACACAAAACAGAACAGTTGGGCAGCTTCAGGAAAAGGAGCAAGGATGACACCTGCTGGAAGAACCACTAATATTTCCAGTTCCAGGTAGAACCTTCTTGGACGGCACACACACACACAGAACTTCACAGCGTCACCCAGGAACAAGGCCTCTGTGTTAGTTACTTTTCTTTCATTGCAGAGACAAAATACTCCACACCAAAAGTTAAAGGGGAATGGGTTTTTTGCCTTACAGATTGTAGAGGTTCAGTCCATAATTGGCTGGCTCCAAGGAAGGGATGACAAATAGGCCTCGCAGAGGAGAAACAACATGGTGCACACAAGGTAGCAATGGCAACAAGGGAGTTTAATAGCATCTTTCTGCCCCTTTTGTATTATTCAGACAACTGGGATTAGGGCGGTGTCAAACTAATCACTCATGTGTAGTGGTTTAGTCATCACACATCCTTAACCCTAGCATCACACATTCCAGATTCAACTACCTCTGAAAAGGAAAGTCCCATCTTATTAAGGCTTTGTTTTGAGGGGACACCTAAACACAAACCATAACAACTTCACAGCACATCAGGGAACCTCAGGAACCAAGGGTAGGTCTAATAAAAATAGCTAACATTTTTTGAGTGCTTCCCTTTGCCAGATGCTTTACAAGTACAGCATAGCCCCATTTAATCCTTACAACTACCCTAAGGTGAATATTATCCCCATTTTTTTAGATGAGGAAACTAAGGTTGAGAAACTTAAGTCATAGCTGTTAAGTGGTGGAGTTGGATTTAAACCTATGGCCATCACAATTCTTATCCCTTAAACTGTATTATCCACTCTTTATATATACATATATACATACATAAATTATATTCATATATAAAGTTTTCTTTTATTAATCCTAGTGATTATTTCTTAAAGATAAGTAACAACTAAGAAGTCAGCATGGTAAAACACAACAAATCTGAAATATCCCATATACTCTTTTTTTTTTTTTTGGTACTGGGGATCAAACTCAGGTCCTTGCACTTGCAAGGCAGGTGGCAGAACCACTGAGCTAAATCCCCGGCCCATCCCATATACTCTTAAGGTTTCCAAATCTCCTGACACACTCATCAACCAAGATTTTGGTTGGTTGAGAAGAAGCTACACTGCTACACTGACAGCTAAGAGGGATGGATAAAGAAATCACAGGAGTCAGGACTCATAGTAGTAGAGGGTACGGAAAAGGAATTAGAAATGCTGATCTAATGGAAAAATAATTTTCAGTCTGAGAAGTAAAAGGGCCACTCTAAGCATTAGACTTAGGAGTCTGATAAGCTATATGTGGTATAGAAGAATACTGTCATTTTGTGGTGCTTTGTTTCCAAATAGCAAAATTAATACCTGATGATGTGACTTGTCATGTACAGAAAACAAAAGGAATTAAAATCACTGGATTGTTTTAAGCAAAGCTTTCTAGAAAAAGACTAATTGTATAAGTATATCTAACTTCCCCACCCATGAAAGCTTGTGTTTTCCAATTGGAAGACATGGGGAACCAGGAGTCATGAAAGGCATGGAAGGGAACACTTGAGTGGGCCAGGGTGTTTACCAGCAGCATATATCACAAAGAGAACAAGATAAAAACACAGAGAGTTAGCTATTCTCTTTCTATTCTCTCTTCCTGTGTATTTACTTCCTTTGGACTCTACTTACATTTTTTTTTTAATGTACTAGAGATTGGACCTAAGGCCTTCACAATGAGCTATAGTCCTAGCCCAGGACTAAAATTTTGCGACAGGGACTCACTAAGTCACTAAATTGCCCAGGCTAGGGTCAAACCTGTGATCCTCCTGCCTCAGCCTCTCAGAGTGCTGGGATTATAGATGTGTGCCACCACACCCAGCTTCCACTTACAATTTTAAGCTTATTAGGCATAACTGGTTAATAGGTAATCAAGATAAGATTTACAGATTCCAGGATCCACCTTGACAAAGACTGAGACTGTCTTCTGGACAATCTTTCAAACGGCCCTAGAAAGTTGGGTGCCTTTTTTTTTTTTTTTTTTTTTGTACAGGGGATCGAACCCCAGACCTTGCGCTTGCAAGGCAGGTGGCAGCACTGCTGAACTAAATCCCTGGCCCCTGAGGTGCCTTTTAATTTCAAAGCCAATTCAGAACACCCAGTGCAGGCTTCAAGAGTAAATCTCTCTCTTATTTCTATTGCCTGTGACTTGATTATACAAGACTTAATTATGAAATGAAAAAGCTAATTCTAGAAGCCACACTCTCAAATTCCTCATAATATTGTTAAACATACTGTATATTTCCATATGGTACATTCTTCCACCAGTATTTATTTATTTATTTATTTTTGGTACTGGGGATTGAACTTAGGACCTCGCACTTCCAAGGCAGGCGCAGTGCCACTGAGCTAAATCCCTGGCCCTTCCACCAGTATGTATATAAGGAACCGGGTATAGGAAAGAAAAGGTCCATGTCATCCACATTCTGGGTGCAGCTCTAATGGAAGCCACTCGGCTCCTGCCCTTTCTCCTTTCTACTTGGGGCTGGCACAAAGGTAGACTTCAAACCTCTGCTGAGAGAGCTATGAGTAAGGACAAAGGCTCTGCTATGATATCTCAGTTTATGTCTGCCTGCCTTCCCAATGTCAACTAGCAAGGAAGTCTATGAACAGAGGCAGAGGCTGAGCACAGAATAAAGTGCATGAAACTCTCCAAACATATTTTGAGAATTAATGTCAAAATCCAATATTTCTTTCTTTTTACTGACTAGGAATTAAAGAAGTTTGCTACATTTTCCAGTGTATGTATGTGTACACAGTTTAAGAAATTAGGCCTACCTTTCAGTGACACAAGGGATGCCTTAATAACACAAATAACAATATTAATAACATATCTAAAAAATTCTACCATCTTTTTATTCATTAAGTTTATTGGTACATTTTAGATACAGAATACAATGACATTTACCACTGGGAATTTATACCTTTACATGATATATCTTGGTTCTTATTTTTCTCCATTCCCCATTCCCCATTCCCTCCCTTCAACCCCTCCACCCCTCCCTATTTACAAAGACTTTCTTTCCATTTTTTCCTTTTCTCATATTTTTTCCTTTCCCTTCTTTCCTTTCTCCTAACCCTCTCCCAGTTCCCCTTCCCTTTTAGACCTTTTCTTCCTATTTCACATTATCTATTATACATTTGATCGTTATTTACACTTTCAGTTTTACAACAGAGAAACTATTCAGTATTTACATGTGTGTCCTATTTATTTCACTTAAGAGTATGGCCTCAATGTGCATCCATTTAGCCATAAATGTCTCTAGTTTTGCACTCTTCATGGCTGAATAGCATTCCATTTTATTAAAAAACCACATCTTCTTTAGCCAGTTTACAGTTCATGGGCAACTGGGCTGTTTCCAAGTTTTAGCTATTACAAACTGTGCCACTATAAACTTGGGTGTGCATTTATCACTGTGGTATGATTCTTTTAATTCTTTTGGGAAGATACTCAGCAAGGGAATAGCTGGGTCAAATGGGACCTCTAATCCTAGCTTTTTGAGGTATCTCCATATTGATTTCCATAGTGGTTGCACCAGTCTGCATTCCCACCAACAATGGAGAAGGCTTGCTTTCTCCCCACAACCTTGCCAGCATTTGTTGTTGGTTGATTTCTTGATAGCAGCCATTCTTTCTGGAGTGAGGTGGAATCTTACCATTTTTTTTTTTGAGAGCTCTTGCTATGTAGTTCAAGCTGGACTTGAACTCACAATATAGCCCAGACTGGCCTCAAACTCACAGCAATTCTCCTGCTTCAGCCTTCCAAGTGAAAAGTCTACCATTTTCATGACTGAGTTATCACAAAACTGGATAGATTATAAGCCTCAGTCTATAGAATTCTATTGGTTTCTGTGTTTATGCAGAAATGTGAGGACAACCAAATACACTTTTTGAAATGGTATACAGTCCATATTTGGAAGTTCATAGATATATCAGAGCGCAATAAGTGAGAATACTTGGAGAATACTTGGAATACTTGGAATGAGATGTGGCTAAACTAACCATTTTAAACCATTTTGTTTTAAGCTGATTCTGATGAGAACTTTCATAATATTATCTAACAGTAAAGTAGTAAAATGGAGCTGTTTTGTATTTGTCTGTTAATTAGCATATCTAAATGACCACTTTACTATTATACATTAATAATGTTGTTTAGAAAAGCCATCTTTGCTCTTATGGGAAACAAAGATAATCTAAAGTGTGGCTATAGGGCCAGGGATTTAGTTCAGTGTTCCGCCGCCTGCCCCGCAAGTGCAAGGACCTGAGTTTGATCCCTTGTACCAAAAAAAAAAGATTAAGTTCTAAAGTGTGGCTATAGTATGGGGACCATGGAAAGCCAAATACTTGACTTACAATAAGTTGATACGAGTTCATATCCCAAGGCCAAAACTTCTCACCTATAGCTAATCGCCTTTGAACCATACTATTTTTTTCATAAAATATAGTTGATAATATCCACTTTGCTATCTTCTGGGTTCCTGCTGAGGACCAGATGGGAATGTATTTGTGAGAAAATAATGTGGAAATTATAAAATGTTACTAAAATATATGGTCCCCACGATCTCGATATCGCTGAGGACTCTCCAGATGTTAGCCACTTGTAACAGACTTAGTTCTCAGGACACGCACACTACCACCCTCATCTTCAGTCCAGTCTTTCAGGATAAGCTTACCTCGATGTAGGGGAAGACTGCTGAGTTCTTGGGATGTAAATTCAGAGATGCAGATGAACAGCCTTTCTCCCTCTTTTAGAGTGGGAATGGTCACAACTTCCACAAAACTGCTGGGGAACTGTCCTGGGGAGAGGGAAACCAAACATATTGAATACTTGCATTTAATGTTGAATATTAACTTTTCTTTTAATATTGAAATTTCTTTTTATGTGTACAAAGACAAAACCTTTTTTCTGAGTCTATTTACAGATTATGAATAAAAAATTCACTGAGGAGGGCTCTATTGTAGAAGTACAGTGCACAAAAACAGATGCATCCAGAAGACAGAGAATGTGATTCAAAAAACATTTATTGGAGCCACACCAGCAAGGTATACTGCAGAGGGAAACATGAGGCTGGTATCTGTGTCTTCCAAAATCTGAACATCTAGTTCAGACAAATAGTAACTTGAAAATAATCTTGAAATCCTCTGTCACAACATAGGTACACAAATAAGTTCAAAGAGAGTAGATAACAGGTCAGAAAGAACAAGAAAAAATTTTATGAAAAAGCATTTCAGTTAGACTATGGCTAGGGTTTCAATAGGTGGGTGTAGAAAGACAATGCCTGTTAGAAAAATTAGAAAGTCTGAAGAAAAATAGGAAAGTCTGATTGATTCTATTCTACATGTCTCTTGAATCTGTCCACTAATTCCCAGACACTGCCTTGGTCTGAGTCCTCATCACTTCCCATCTGGGTGACTGCAATAATCTCCAACTCACTTCCTTATCTTCAGTTTTCCCCTTCCTAGCATTCTTCACAATGCAGCAGTGAGCTTCCTAAATACAAATCTGACCATGCTTAAGACACTTCCCCAGCCTTCCGCTTCCTTAATTCTTTACCTGGAACACTCTGCTTTCCATGGTCAGCTTCTGCCCCTCTTTTCAGCTCCACCTGCCCCCTCAGCTATCCATGTTTTATGCCTTATGAACGTTCCTCAGTCCCTCTGTGTTGGCACCCACCCCAGGACCTCTAAACAAGTCATTCGCTCTGCTTTGCTAACTCCTACTCAGCAGTAAAGTCTCAGAAGACTTTTATGGGGAAATAATCTAGTTCCCAAATATAGGTTAAGTGTCCATAGGATCTGTTCTCAGGACTGTAACACATACTCCATCCGTAGACCATAGCTATAAGTATTGGATTAACATAGATGCATACTATGTGGGGGGAAATGTCCACCCTTCCCTAGGCTAGTTAAGAAAAGAAACCTATGTTAATGTGCATATATATATATATATA